GAAGTCTTTCTGCGAGGCTTGTTTTTTTGGGTTGATGGAGTGATCTCAACATCAGAATCATCAGTTTCATTGACAAGACTGATAAGCTTTCTTTTGCTTCCTTGTTTCTTTTCAGGAATGCAAGCTACATCATCTTCAGCGACCCGATCAACGTTTGTTTCTTCTGCAACAAGCCTATCTATGGGATTTTGAGTTTCCAAGTCAACTGTATCTAGTGGGACGTAGTTCGGATCAAACGTCTTATCTTGTGAGTCGCCTCTCGATCCCATGTTCTCTCTCTTAGGTTTTGCGGTTCTGGTAGGCTAGGTTCTAGTGTTTTTTTGTCTCTCTTTCACGTGTTGCGGTTTTTCTAAAACCGTTTTAGTTAGTAAGGCTTTCTAAATGTTGTTAAAATTCTAATTAAAAAATTGTTAATATTGTTTTTTAAATTTTAAATATTTGAAAATTTTATGCAAGTACACATCCAAATTAAAACTTTAAATGTGTCATCAGTACATGTATTCACGGAAAGCTAACTAGCCTACCGATAACCTACGCAATGCAACCAAATTAAAACCCTAAGCTACGTTCCAACGATTAAGTTACTCACCTTAGTTCTTTAAAGCTGCGATGAACTTAGAGCTTCAGTTGTTTTAACTTGATGCTCCATTGATCCTACTTGCTTGTTCACGATCACTCCATCATCTCAGGAAAAAAAAATATAAAATAAAGCTACATAAGTCAAGACGAATAGCTAACCCGAGATAGAGACATCAAACTATGCAGCTATAAAACAAACAGCACAATCACAAATTCAATGAGTTCAGTCTTGTCTTAACTTCGCACTGAGTTCAGCCGTGAAGCCTGTGAACAATTACCCTTGAGTCCTTAGGATGATTTTTAACAAGCTTGGAGGCTTGAACTCAGTGACCTAGTAAAGACAAGTAACGCAACTCATGTAACACTCAATTGAAGCAATCATATACAAATAAATTTAACAAATTTAGCAGAGACATATCAATCTAGTATATACAAACAAACAACAAATAACAAAGTAACTACTCTATAATGTTAATTAATTATATACATTATTAAACTTTTATAAACTACTCTATAATGTTAATTAATTATATACATTTATTAAACTTTTATAAACTACTCTATAATACATTTATTAGTATTAATATTAATTTTTTTGTCAAACAAATTATAATATTAATTAATTATCTAAATTTATTAAACCTTTATCAATTAATCTGTAATATTAATTAATTATATAAATTATTAAACCTTTATAATTAGTTTATAATATTAATTTTTTCAAACAAATTATAATATTAGTTAATTATCTAAATTTATTAAACCTTTATAAATTAATCTATAATATTAATTAAATATATAAATTATTAAACCTTTACAAATTAATTTATAGTATTAATTTTTGTTTTGTCAAACAAATTATAATATTAATTAATTTTCTAAATTTATCAAACCTTTATAAATGAATCTTTAATATTAATTAAATAAATAAAGTTATTAAACCTTTGTAAATAAATTTATAACATTAACTGATTGTATAAAAATATTAAAGTTCTGATTGAAGAACATGCAGGGATTCCTCACCGGCGAAGAAGAGAAACGAAGCAAAAGAACTCCTCACTGGCTGGGATCTTCACTGAGCAATAAGCCACCGTTGCCGGAGCTCTTGAATGTACCTGAAATCAAAACTAAAAAAAATTAAAGGACTCGATATGAAACACAAGAGGAGAACAAAGGTAGAGATGATTCACTACCGGATGCATCGCATGCATGGAGAGAACTCAAAATACGTCAAGATCTGTCGCTCAAGATTCCACCGGATGATGGAGGATCATCTTCTACGGTGGAAAGAGTTTCAAAAATCAAGAACAACTTTCTTTTTGTCACAGCTTTCGGGAGAAGAAGATGACTCTCCACCATCCGGCGGAGTCCTTGCGAATAACAATCCGCCGTCACTGGAACTCCATCCTGAAGTCATCAGAGTCCATTAGCTGAAGCGCCGATCTCATCTTTCTCTCACTCTCTCTCTCTTTTTGTTTTTTCAGGTCGGCGAAAAATGCAAATGGAGAAGACTCTTGCGGTGCTTAGGCCCAAATCCGCTCTGCCAGAGGTTGTAATGGGCATGTCCCGCGGTCAAAGCCCACGATTGACATCCCTAAATTCTACATATCCAAACAGATATATACTATTATTTGAGATATAATTTGTTTAATTAATTAATTTTTCCAATGATTTTAGGTTTAACTAATTGTTTGCAATAATTTTAATAAAATTTGTATCTTTAATAATAAACAGTTTTGAAAAATTTGATAATTACAATATATCATCTACACAGATATTTGATATTATCTTATTCATTATTATATATATATAGTTTTCAATGATTTTGATAATAACCAGTTTAAGGAAATATGATTATTATTATCTAAGCAAAAAAATGTTATTATTTTATCTATACTATTATTTGCGAGAAGATTTTTTTGCTTATAAACCCTTATGTTAAAAGTTGGAGTGGTTAAATTTTTTGTCATTTTTAATGAATAATTAGATTTATTAATTAATACATAATTAATTATTAATGAAAAACAAATTTAATCATTTTATATTTATCATTATTTGAAAATAGTTTATATTATGTTATAAAGTCTTTATTAATATTAATTAATAACTAGATTTGTTAATATATTATTAACCATAGAGTAAAAAGGAATTTCGCTGATGTGGTAATTATCATTATATAAAAATAATTTATATTCAGAATATTACATCATAATTTTTGATCTTTTTTAAAAAAAGGATAGATAAATATTTGTACACATATCTTTTTGTATAACTTATGAATACATGAGTGTTTTCTATTTTATTTTATGCAGTAAAAATATATATTTTTATTATACTAATTTTTTTTGTCATTTGATATTTAATTTATCACTAAATGTTTTCAAGTTTATGCTACATAATAAAAATATATATATTATGATAAAACTTTTATATAAAAATATTATTTAATTCTTATTAAATATAAAATATGAACAACAAATTATTCGAACAATATTTGAATTGATCGTATATCTATTTATAAATATTAATAAAATTATTATATACGCAAATGCGGATAAAACACCAAACGGTAGTTAACAAGAAACGAAAGACCACTATAATCAGTTATTTCCCAAGAAGACAATGATGCATTGTAAATTCTCTCCCAAGAAGATAATTTTGGAAAAAGAAGTCTCACAGTAATATCTTAAGAAAGCTTTACAAAATATAATAGTTATCTAGAAGTAGACTTTTACAAAATATAATAGTTATCTAGAAGTAGAAGAAAATAAAAGGTAGAAATTATTATCAGGAGCTAGATGATAAGTTTGCGTTTAAAATGAAACTCGACTTAACAAGTGATAACGACGACTCTATAAGCAGCCAAAATCCGCCCCTATTGCTACCTGTCGACACACAAATCGTTATCTCAAAAAGAATAAAACTTACAAAAGTAACCTAAACTTTACATCTTATCATATACAAAGGACTGTAAACCAAAATCGAAAAATTAATGATATCATCACCTATAAGATAACTAGGTAATAATCTGCGCCTTACCCGGAATGTGAATATTATTTTGTTACTTTTAAGATAAAAATCATATTATTTTTGTTTAGCATGAATATTGGTATAGTTTTACGTTGTTTTTTTTAATCTCCTAAAATATAACTATCATTGTAAATCTATATTTATTTTGGTTTGTTTGGTTTAAATGTTTGATGTTTTTGATTTTTTTGATGATAACAAAAAACTTTTGTATTTGTTTGGTTTCATTTTATATAAATTTTAGATATTTTTTATGTCGAATTAATAGTTTCCTATTATAATTACTAAAGACATTTAAAATCAAATAAAATCTAAAAAATATTTGAAGAAAAAAAAAAAAATTATTAACACAAACATTTCAGTACAATTTGAGCGATAGTGAAAGATAACATTAAAAAAAAACCAACGTCGATAAGAATTAAAATTCTCACTTGTGGTGAATATTTAGTTATATAGTTGCTCATGTCAATATGTACATATATGTGTATGTAAAAGTATATAAATGTGATGATAAATATATGAATATACAGTTAATTAAGATTTAAAACATTTTTGTTCAAAATAACACATGATAGTAAATTCTTAAATAAAATTAAGTAAAAATAAAATAACCTAGAAATTAATAACAATTTTTTCATAAGAATAAAATCAAATTGTACCCGTAAACAATAAAAGTAATATATATTACAAAGTGGCATCTTCACTTGGTACCTGAATTCTGTTTTTAATCGATTTTGTGATTTTTATTTATTTTTTAAAGCTTTTCTGATTTCTGATTTTTTTCCTACCAATTTGATTTTGTTTCTAGTTCTTAGTGTGATATAAAAAATTTATAAAAATGTTAATATTTGACTAAACTAAAGATCCGACTTTACGTGTGGGGTTTTTCACCTTAGTTTTTTTAAATCATAATTAATCACCTTATTTGTTTTTATTGTGTTCCGAAACCTCAACCATGACCAACTTCAGAAAGGTACGAAACTTTCAAGTTTTACAAACATTTTCATCGCAATATTTTAGTTGATGTGAATCTTAATGATTTTGTAATTTTTTTACAATAAAGATATTATTCATTAGTTTCACCTAGAAAATTTTTATTTCTTAATACAATGGGTAAAAATGTAAGAAAATGAATTAATTAAAAAATAGTATATAAATATATTAAATAATGAATTTTGAAAAATTAGTGGGTAAACGCATTAAATGTCAAATGATTGTAAAGTTGACATGTGTTCGTTATGGTATGAACGCATTTATTATCGTGCATCTCTTTTAATATATAAGGGATAATATCAGGCTCAATACACATGTATATAGAGAGATAGAATCACAAAAACAGAGATTCCAAAAAGAAAAAAAAGATGCAACAGAAATCATAAACCATCTTAGAGATGATGTCAGCAGATCCTTTCATGATCATTAAGAAGGTAAAGAAGAGCAGTAACAGCGAGAACAATCAGAGAAGGTTTAGCGACGAGCAGATCAAATCACTGGAGATGATGTTCGTGTCTGAGACGAGGCTTGAGCCAAGGAAGAAGGTTCAATTAGCAAGAGAGCTTAGCTTGCATCCTAGGCAAGTGGCTATATGGTTTCAGAACAAGAGGGCTCGTTGGAAGTCGAAGCAGCTAGAGACAGAGTTCAATATTCTCAGACAAAACTACAACGACTTGGCTTCTCAGTTTGAGTCACTCAAGAAAGAAAATCAAGCTTTAGTCTCTGAGGTTGTTTGAGGTGAAAATGGTTTAGAACAATGTAAAGAGAAAGATGGGGGCGAACAAAGACGTTTTTATTAGATCTGAACAAGGAGTTACAAAGAGAAGAGTAAAGAGGCGGACTAGCCGGAAATACAAGATGGAGAGTAAACGGGAAGGTGAGTAAACCCTAGATCTAACCACCTAGTCGCTAAGAAACCCTAGATCTAGCCGCCAAGTGAGTATATCGAATTCCGGATCCCCTTTCCCTTTGCTGCCTCTCTCCTTTTATAGACCCTGTCTTTGTGTTCGCCCTAGTTTACCTTAGCCTTGTTGGGCTTGATTCTTATTAGGCCCGTTTAGTAGTCCGGGTAAGTCGTACTTCAGCCGACTCTCTTAGTCGCGCTACTAAACGTGTCTCATGCTGAGTCGTTTTGATGTTACCTGGTGGACCGAGTACATGATCGTGTTGGGCTAAGTTTCTCCATTTGATGGGCCTTGCGGAGGGGTATAACCCATCTCCTACAATAAGTCCCCCCCAGTTCACTTATGAGTTCATAGGACTCTAAGTGAATTTGTGGGTCAGGTTTGATCAAATGGAGAATCTAGCATGGGTGCACGTTTAGGCGACACCTCGGGCGTGTCTAGTCTAGCGGCTAGAACGTCGATCACGAGCACGTTTAGGCGACACCTCGGGCGTGTCTAGTCTCGCGACTAGAACGTCGATCACGAGCACGTTTAGGTGACACCTCGAGCGTGTCTAGGCTCGCGGCTAGAACGTCGATCACGAGCACGACACCTCGGGCGTGTCTAGTCTCGCGACTAGAACGTCGATCACGAGCACGTTTAGGTGACACCTCGAGCGTGTCTAGTCTCGCGGCTAGAACGTCGATCACGAGCACGTTTAGGCGACACCTCGGGCGTGTCTAGTCTCGCGACTAGAACGTCGATCACGAGCACGTTTAGGCGACACCTCGGGCGTGTCTAGTCTCGCGACTAGAACGTCGATCACGAGCACGTTTGGGCGACACCTCGAGCATGTCTAGTCTCGCGACTAGGATGTCTTCTATTGTCGCGTAAGTGCGTCAGTTTGGGCCCGTCTAGTAGCACGACTGAATCGATGCATGTGAGAGCGTGTTTAGGTGACACCTCGAGCGTGTCTAGTCTCGCGACTAGGATGTCTTCTAATGTCGCGTAAAGGCGTCATCTTGAGCTTATCTAGTAGCGTGACTGAGTCGATGCCTGTGAGAGTGTGTTTAGGCGACACCTCAAGCGTGTCTAGTCTCGCGACTAGGATGTCTTCTAATGTCGCGTAAAGGCGTCATCTTGAGCTTATCTAGTAGCGTGACTGAGTCAATGCCTGTGAGAGTGTGTTTAGGCGACACCTCGAGCGTGTCTAGTCTCGCGACTAGGATGTTATGTTCGAGCGCGTGAAGGCGTCACATTCAACTCGTCCAGTAGATTAAATAAGTCGTTACTCGTGGAGTAACACTTAGCTCGAGTGGATCAACCGAGCTGATCGCTTTTCGACTTAGTCGATCTAGGCGACCTGTTGAGACGCACGTTCAGCTTCTAACCGCCTTCTGGTTCAATCTCAGTTGCTTCTCGATTTAGCTCCGGTTTAATTTCGGTTGGAGTAAACCGGTTAAGGCTACCTACGTACCTCCATAGAGGATCAAGCCGTTCGTAGTTCAGTTTACCCGAGCAAAAGTTGCTGTTTTAAGGCTCATTTACTCGGGCGAGTAGAAGTGACAACTA